AGTTGGCATGTATACTTAACATGTCTCAATTCTTTTTCCTCTCTCCCTTCACTCTCCCCTTCTTGCTAGCATCAAATTTATCTTATAAGTTCTTACAATATTGATTATTATACTTACCAATTCAACCAGACTACTTTATATGTTCCTTAGCCTAGTTGCTAAACACATAAAACACATAAGATAATTATATTATATCAAGGTACACTTTTAGATACATTGTCCCTGCTAGGTTATAACAAATTTTCTCCATTTTTTCCTATCATGTCTTTTATTTCGCAATTTATATATTGAACTTTTCATATAAGAGAAACAACGCAATATTTACTTGTAGCCTGACAAGCGGGAAGTGTCTGTCACTACCTTACAAGAGCAGAAGTGTGCCGTGCTGCAGTGGATGAGTGTTACTGCCACCAGTAACGGGCTGTTCCGCATCCCCTACCTGGCTTTCGGTGCTCCCCTTCAGTGAAGTGGCGTGGGATAGCCCAGTCAATTTTTTTTTTTTTTTTTTTTTTTTTTTTTGAGTCATGTTCTTGCTGTGCAGTTCAGGCTGGCCTTGGACTCACTATGTGGCCCAGACTGGCCTCAAATTCATGGCAATCTTCATGCAGATTCAAATTTTAATTCTTTCAAAATTAGTTTCCTTTTCTTGGATTTGGGCACTAGTATAAGCATTGTCTGTGATATAAAGATTTTACATATACTTACATATTTCCTATGTCATTATATATCAATCCCTTGAAAATACAAATGATTTCTTTAGTGGTAATATATAACATGAGATCTTGATCTTGGTATAAATGAAAGCGACTAATAATAAATTTTATACCAACTGCAACTAGCTGCATCCCACTGTCATAAAGACATTTTCTTTTAAATATAAATTATGCAAAATTGGGCCCGGGAGACAGCTCAGTGGTCTAAGTGCTGTCTGACAAGTGCAGGGACCCAAGTTCCATCCCTGGGATCACATGCCGTGCCGGCCCCTCATTGTGCCAGCCACTGAAACCGGACATGGTGGTGCACCCTTGTAATACCAGCACTGGGGAGGCTGAGACAGGAGGATCACTTGAGTCTGAGCTGCCTAGTGAGACCCTATACCAAATAAATACATAAATCTTAGGGGAAAAAAAGTTCTGCAAAATCTTAAAACCACCATAGGTAAGAACAATATTTTTCCTTTTCAGAATATTTTAAGGCTTTTTTCTTTGTGGCACTTGATATTGAACCCAGGCCCTCCTGCAAGAAGGCAAGCGCTCTGCTACTGATCCACACCCTCAGCCCCTTTGGAGGCAAACATTTGGTTAGCAATGAGTTCAGGGTATCACTAACATAATCTTATTTGAGTCAATTTATTCTGGGAACCAAATTATTAAGACAACATTGTACTTAGTTTCCAATATTATACAAGATATTTTATAAGACAACACATCATTTTTCATATAATAATTTCTGTGGCTGACATATAATTTTATGTAAAAGTGTGATTTAGAACCTGAAAAGGAATGAAGACAAAATTCGTGAGTTAATGGAATTGGGGAATGCATAATCGTGCTGCGCTACTTTGAAAGTTTAAACGTCTACTGTGTGTGATGAAATATTGCCAGTGATTATACTGCTTTATGTCTTCATATTGAAAGTCTACTATTTTAAATAAATTTATTTTAGAAAAAAAATAGGCATATAGAAAAATCTGTTTCACCTCCTTAGTAAATACAACATATCTCTGGTTATGGAAAGCTTCAAAATTCAATATTTAGAAAGCATAATCAAAAATTGAAAATAAATTGATGTCATCAAATACCTCTGTTCTTTGCTTCACATATTCACAGTCAGACATGTGGCTTGGAGGTACCTCATGACAAAAAATAATTCTACCTTACCCAATATATTTGCCAAAAGTAGCTGGCTTTTCCCCCCCTCACATACCATTAATTCTCTTCTACAAAATTTATTACTCCTAATTCCTCCTGAATCAAATTAAAACTTAGGTGAAGGATATAGGTCAGTGGCACAATGTCTGCCTGGCAAGTACAAGGTCCTGAGTTTGATCCCTAGTACAAAAAAAAAAAAAAAAAAAATTAAAGCTTAGTTCTAAACTCAGCTAAAATGACCTTTTTCTTTTCATCTATAAGCATTCCTAACCTTTTGTGTGTATCAGTCCTACCTCTGTCATCAGACTATAAACTCTTTAAAGACATGATGGGATTTTTCTGTTTGGTACTCATTTACTCAGCAAATATTTATTTGGTTTATATTAAGGTTCAAGCACCATTCTAGGCAATGGGTATGTACATGGTATCTCAGTTCAGAAATGCTCCTCTTCAGAAGTCTTTAGTAAAATTTAGCTTCCATTTGTGAATTCTAGATTGAGTGAGCAACATGACATATGGCCAACTTCCCCCAAATCATGAAATGAGTTAAGTTTGCAAACAAAGTTATC